TGTTGTATGTCTGTCTTGTCTGTATCTTTTGTATGTCTGTCTGTCTGTTTTGTATCTGTGTTTTCTGTCTGTATCTTTTGTATGTCTGTGTGTATCTTTTGTCGTCTGTATCTTTGTATGTCTGTCTGTCTGTTCTTGTGTCTGTCTTTCGTATCTTTGTATGTCTGTTCGTCTGTATCTTTGTATGTCTGTCTGTCTGTATCTTTGTATGTCTGTCTGTCTGTATCTGAACAACACTGTCGAGTCTCTCCAAAACAAACCTTTAATTATTCATCCAGGTTTCAAAATTTTCAACAACACTTACACGATTAAAAAAATAAATAAACACAGTGAACGGTTTCTAACGGTTTTAACGGTTTCTAACGGTTTTAACGGTTTTTAATGGTCTTCTGTGGAGAAATTGAAGGCAAAAAGTTTATTGGATTGGCTGACGTCATAATTGAGTCCTTGAGAGACTTGGGTGAAGGACGAGGTTGGAGGACGTGTACAGGCCGGTTAAAAGAGGACCCCGAGGACGAGTGACTTAATACTTGAGTTGTTATAGTGAGAGAGAGATAAGAGGGAGAGGAGAGAGAGAGAGAGAGAGAGAGAGAGAGAGAGAGAGAGAGAGAGAGAGCTGCACTGTGGACAAGGCTAAAGACATGCTCTCCAAACTCCCCCTCTTTACAACCCATCAGGACAAGTTGTATGTGAGATGACCCCGTGTAAGACTCCAGGTCAAGGGAGGTCGAGGGTGACTGGCGGCGGTGTCAAGTAAAAGATGGAATGATAATTGAGAGTAATAATAATAATAGTCATCAAAATAATAATAATAATAAAGATGATGATGATGGATCCATTAAGCCTGTGACCTCTTGACCTGTGACCTCTTGGCCTGTGACTTCTTGACCTGTGACCTCTTGGCCTGTGACTTCTTGACCTGTGACCTGTTGTTTATGACCTCTTGACCTGTGACTTCTTGACTTGTGACTTGTTGTTTATGACCTCTTACACCTGTGACCTCCATGACCTCTTGGCCTGTGACTTCTTTACTTGTGACCTGTTGTTTATGACCATTTGACCTCTGACTTGTTGCTTATGACCTCTTGGCCTGTGACCTCTTGACCTGTGACCTGTTGTTTATGACCTTTTGTCCTGTAACTTGTTGCTTATGACCTTTCGACCTGTGACCTGTTGCTTATGACCTCTTGACCTGTGTGACCTCTTGACCTGTGTGACCTCTTGACCTGTGTGACCTCTTGACCTGTGTGACCTCTTGACCTGTGTGACCTCTTGACCTGTGTGACCTCTTGACCTGTGTGACCCCTTGACCTGTGTGACCTCTTGACCTGTGTGACCTCTTGACCTGTGACACCTTTACTCGTGAACGGATAGAAGTTTAGTGTTCAAACTGTGGATGTTTATTTATCTTGATGATCTTGGCACTGAGAGAGAGAGAGAGAGAGAGAGAGAGAGAGAGAGTTTATACCACCTGCTGTAAGTGTATAGACCAGGTAATAAGAGTGAGATACTGGCACTCCTTGGCACCTTTACTGACGATGCTAGCATGTTAGCGGTAGTAAGAGTAATAATGGGTAATATTAATGGTAGCATCCTGGTTTTAATGGGCCCCAGTCAAGGGCTCCCAGTTTTAATGGGTTCGAACTTGTGTGGTATAGGTTGGGTTAAACTGGGACCTATTATAATTGAGGTGCTATTATACCTGTCCCTTCAGCTTATTAGTGCCACAGGTGTTCAGTATCCCAGCCAACAGATGTTCAGCTTATCGGCTTCCTCGGCTGATCAATGCCAACAGATGGTTATTTACTGCTGGTCGCCATTTTTCTCCCAGCCAGGATTGTTGTTCCGTTGTTGTTGTTGTTGTTGTTCCGTTTATTGTTGTTCCGTTGTTAGGTCCGGAAAAGAAATGTTTTAGACAGAGAAATGTGTTATAATGTTAGGGGTATCAAAGAACTCAAAACACACACACACAGAAAACACAATCACACACAAAAAATAGCAAATACAAACACCAGACAAAAAAAATACAAAATTATTTAATACTTTTTCGGGCCATGAAAAGGTTAGGTTAGGTTCATGACATTTGTGATTACGTGAATTTACCTGTCGAGTGTTTGACAGACACACACACACACACACACACACACACACACACAAAAATATGTGAGGCTTGGCAAATTGTGCCTGAAACGTGTCATATTGAGGGATATCAACTCTTTCATCACCTTCGTTCACATAGACGCCGGAGGGGCGTTGCCCTCTACTGTCAAGATGACTCACGCCCGTCACGCCTGGATGTTCAAGTCCCAGCAGATGTGAAGCATTATGGATATGCTGTGCCACGGGCCTACCTGCGCCACACCAGCTTCCATCATAATCTGTGTGTCATACCATCCGCCTCGCTTCACCACCAGAGACACTCTTTATCAATCATCTCATCACCACCTCAGAGTTAGTACCCATGTGCCAAGTTAGTATTATGGGATTATAAATGAAATTGACACCACTGATATCCAGGACCAGCTGTCACTATCACAAGTTGTGAACTTTTCACACACGTCAAAATACCCTTGACCTTATCTTAACTGACGAAGTGGACCAGTACCAACCACCAACCAATGCCTCCTATCGGGTGAAGCAATACACCTATCAGTGCTCTGTCCCCAGCTGCCCACTCCCACTCAAGCACAGAGACTTACATCAAGACCAACAGGCCGATTACTGACTCCAGTGTGCTCCTTCGGACAGTGGATAGTTCACCATCCCTGGACTGAAGTACTTAGCGTGATGACGTGGAAACCAAATGGATAAATTTTACCAACACCACCACGTGGAGGCTCACCACCACTCTTCTTCCCCGAGAAGTCCGTCAGATCTCACCCAGCTGACTTGCCCTGGATCACACCTCGGATCAAAGACTTATGTAACAGAGAGACAGAGCCTTTCATCTCAATGACACATTCCGGCCACAGGTCCCTTCAAGAATCGAGTCATCCGCTTTAAATACGCACTGCAAAGAAATCCCATTACCCAACCAAATTACAACACCTGAAGCAGACCAACATCAGTCAGTGGTATGGTAAGTTTAAAGAACCCTGTGGACGCAGCTGAGCAATCAAATAACCATTTCGCTTACTATATGCCAGACGCTTCCCGGCTTGACACAACCAGTCCCCCTGCTTACCTACCAGCCCTTCCCACTGACTTAGTAGAAGAATTTGAAGTAGCAAAACGTCTGGACACCCCCATTGACTCTTACCAATGAAACTCTTCAAGGAGTTCTCCCCGGAGCTAAACCCCTATGCTCCATCATCAATGCTTCTCAGTCGCCAGATGTCAGCTGACTGGCAGACCTCTTATGTATCACCAGTGCCCAAGTCAACCAGCCCACAACTTTAAATCAGCATGACCTATTGTAATCACCCCCACACCTGTTTAATCTGTGAAAGTTTTGTGTCTGACTGGGCTGCAGAGTGCTGATATTGCAGGAGAGTCGTAGACCTCAGCAATTTGGCAATATGAAAACATCCTCCACCACTCACTGGAAGTCTTGTCAGCTTTCTCTCTCGATTACATATACCGCCATCTCGAGAAACGAAAACGTCTGTAGCTTGCCGCCTTCATTGATTACTCTACTAAAGCTATTCGACCTAGTCGACCACAATATAATCATCAACAAAGCTATTGACCTCGGCTGAGAAATCTTATACCATGGCTTGTCTCCTCAGTGACCGACGCCGTTGTACGCTCTGAGGGGCTGTTCCCCACCTTTTTAGTCACTCACCTGTGGCGTCTCCCAAGGCAATTCAAGATGTAATCACTGCTTCCTTATGCCTACCAATGATGCCCTTAAGAGAAAACTCCTGCTCGCTGTTATGTCGACGACTTCTACCCATTGGGATCAGCGTCACCAATTCTGCTCCTGACTATACTGCCCCTTCAGGATTTATTGAACAGTCGCCAAAACTGGGCTACCAACAACCATGTCACCATCAACCTTACCAAGACCATGGTTATGCATCTGACATTGTCCCACCTCTCCTTCCATTACTTTAGGTCCGAACACTCCAGGCTGTAGATTCCACGAAGCCTCGGCGTCACCATAGACAACAAACTAAATTAAACCACATGTCAATGAAGTCGTCAAATCCTCCAGTTTCCGTCCCCACCTCCTCCCCTGACTCAAGTCCTTCTGATCCTGCACCTGAGCTCCTCAGTGTTTGCACAACATCTTACTCCTTAAGCTCACCTTATGCCTCCCCCACTGGTCTTCCTCCCTAAATGCCACACAACGTAAACACCTAGAAAAAGTGCAAAAGAGGGCAGGCAAGATTATTCTCTCCCTTCCTACCCACATACTCTCATGCCTGCACAATTGACCCTTTCTGACTCTCACTGACCATCACCACGACCCTCATCTGCAAATTTGGTAAGAGCTTCACACCATCCTCGACAATCGGCCCTACTACCACCTGAGATCCCTAGCCCGAGAATTCGTTCGACACCACAAACTGCATCCAGCCCATAATGTGCACGAACCACTGCTATAAGAACAGCCCAGTCCTTAAACCATTGTAAAATTATCAATAACTTTAATAAACCAGTGTATCTAATTCCCAGTAAATACTACTTGCACTGTCACTATGTTGAAATGCACGTAGTTTGAGCTTTTCCCCATCTAGTTATTATATATCTTATTTGTATCACTTTTTACTTGTATATTATTTGTAATTCAAAACCCATTCCCAATGGCAACTGTGTATATTTTCAGCCTTCTGGCTGCCAAGCTCTTTCAACCGTTAATTATTATTATTATTATTATTATTATTATTATTATTATTATTATTAAGGCGGTGGCCAGGCTGGGCCTCTGCTTTGTGTTGTGGGTGTTCGTGAGACAACCAACCCCTTACCTGTATTTCCCTTCCACCTACCATATTATAAAGTTTGTTATTTATTGTTTATCTTAATGATCACTAACACCTGGTCTTCTCCTGCAGTTGGCGACGCCGGAGTCCGGGGATGATTCGAGCTTCCGCATGGCCATCGTGGGGGCGACGGGTGTGGGCAAGACGGCTCTCATCCACCAGTTCCGTACCTCAGAGTGTATCAACGCCTACGACTGTAACCCCAGTGAGTGTTGTTGACCTTTGACCTGTCCTTCCCCGTAGAGTTAAATCACGTGACTCCGGGTTATTTAGAGCAAGAGAGAGAGAGTGTGAGTGGTGTTGATCTCTTGTCTTTATAGAGTCAGCTCACAGCCTCTGAATTCGTGTATGGTAACCTGGTTACCTGTAGAGTTGGCTCACGTCTACCTGTAGAGTTAGGTCACGTCTACCTGTAGAGTTAGGTCACGTGGCACTGAATATTTTTCGTTGGTTGACCCATCTCGTGGTGACCTGTCTCTGGTGTGGACTAAGGTCATCTGGGGTTGGCATCTTGTGTTTGGGTTAAAAGGCTTAAAGGGGGCCCCAGATTTAATGACCATTGGCGTGACGGCGAGCTAAGTATTGGGATACATCACACAGTATACTAAGCCTTCGGTACACAAGGAGGCATTGATACTGCACTCGATCGCCTTCACTCCCCCAAGTTGTAATGTTAGGTACCCATTTACAGCTGGGTGGACTGAGAGTACCCTGGGATCAAACCAGCGACCGTTAAGATAGCACTGTATCCACTAGACCGCCGCATTTCTAGTCTAATTTAACTTGACAATCATTAGAAGTTGGACCCATTACGATTGAAACCCATTAGGGCTAGAACCTATTACGACGACGGGGACCCATTATAACTACTACGGTCGCACCTATTAGAACGATTGGAGCCCATTAGAACGGCTAGAACCTATTATACTTAAAACCTATTAGGATTTGACCTATTCGAACTAGGGTCCATTATCTCATTCTCGTTTCGCTTGCAGACAAAAAATCATAATATTCAGCTGTGTGGCCCGGAGCCTGTATTAATGAGGCGCACCTGAGACTCCCAGCGCGCGAGGGCAAAAAAAAAAAAAAAAAAGACTGGGCACAGGGAAAATAAGAGACTCCCAGGGCAAAAAGATTCTCAGGACACGGGGCAGAAACTGAGACTGAAAAAAAATGGGTCGATTTTTTTTTATTACATATAACGATATTTAAATAGACCTGAGTTTTAAGTAAATACTAGAAATATATTTGAGGAAAAGAAAAATTTTCTGTATGGCAAAATTAACTTAAAGAAAAACAGAGATATTGACAATTACATAACTGGATAATATGAAAATGAGAAATAATTTAGTGATTTTGTAATTGTGTGTGTGAGAGTGAGTCCTGACAATGCACTGTAGAGAATATATATATATACGGTAAACATTAGAGACCGGACCAAGATACCCATGTTAACCCACCAGCGTGTGTGAGTATATTGATCACCACCTTGGAGGTACTCTGGGAAGGATGTGACTTATTAAAACCCCCACAGTTGAGTTAATATTAGATGAATGACTTGAAAGAAACAAACTTTCAAGAGGAAAGAAATTTGAATCATATTTTAATAACTTTATGTAATTTATTTCTCTATTAATACTAGATCACAAATTATCGACCAAAAGCTCATTAGATACATTATGTTGTTTACAGGAGTACAAAGTATTTATACACACAATTTAAAACATCGCAGAGTTGAATAATTTATATCTGAATAAAGTTTATAAGAACGTGAATAAAACAGTCATAATACATAACCCATAATTATAAATAAAATGTAAAACAAAAACAATAAAATCACTATCAAAATCTAACCTAGAGATGCAATGATAAAATTTCAGTTTAATACTTAATAAAATATATAAGATACACAGAAAACGAACCAAAAGCATGGGGAACTACATTAAACTTACCCCACCGCCTTTATATATAAAACCAAGGCAGCATATGATTCATTCTAGTTCAGTTTAGGTCATGTTTGCTTCCTGTGTAAACCTTTTGATGTCCCGAGGTCAACATTACGTTCACCAGAAGATTAATTTCACACGATGATTAAAATACCCTTAATCCTAACCTAACCTAACCTAACCTAACCTAACCTAACCTAAACCGGAACATTATTGCGAATTGACGACCATAACTAACCACAATAACGCGGCAGTTGTTAGATTTTGATATTTATATAATGTAATCTAATATATGCGTGTGTGTGTATTTTATATATATGCGTGTGCGTGTGTGTGTGTGTGTGTGTGCGTGTGTGTAATAGCTTAGCGTGAGTGTGATGAATGTAATCTCGAGGCGAATCATGGAACTCTGACAGCTGTTCCCGTAAGTAATTGCAATCGAGGCTCCAATTTCACACTCTGATATCCACTTCCCCCATACATACATACATACATACATACATACATACATGACACATTTTGCCATTACCTCGCTTACACTCACATACACACCTTTACATTTCTGTGTGTGTGTGTGTGTAACAACCAGGGCCCTATAATGAGCATAGTGATAAGAATATCCTGAAGGTAAACAGTGTCGATGTCCCCCACTACCTGTTGTATCTCTCCCCCACTACCTGTTGTATCTCTCCCCCACTACCTGTTGTGTTTGTTCCCCACTACCTGTTGTATCTCTCCCCCACTACCTGTTGTATCTCTCCCCCACTACCTGTTGTGTCTCCCCCACTACCTAAGTGTATCTCCACTACCTGTTGTATCTCTCCCCACTACCTGTTGTATCTCCCCCACTACCTGTTATTGCATCTCCCCACTACCTGTTGTGCTTGTCCCCCACTCAATTGTTGTATCTCTCCCCCACTACCTGCTGTGTCTCTCCACTACCTGTTGTATCTCTCCCCCACTACCTGTTGTATCTCTCCCCCACTACCTGTTGTATCTCTCCCCCACTACCTGTTGTGTCTCCCCCACATGTATGTAGGTATTTATGTATATATGTATGATGACATGCAGTGTAATGGTCAGCATCCTCGCCTCTCAAGCGAACGAACCCGGGTTCGATCCTCAGGCAGGGTGAAACTATGGGCAAGTTTCTTTACGCCATTTGCCTCTGTCTACCCAGCAGTAATTGGGAACCTGGATGTTAATCGACACTGGGTCATGCAGCTCGTTAACTTAGGGTGTGGTTGTTGTGTTGGCGACAGTTTCTACACCTTAAACAAATTCACGCCTCGGTGGCCCTAGGGCCGGCCATCCTTGTTACACGAGGGGCAGCCATTATTATGTATGTATGTCCAGTATCTCAAAAAGACTCTGCCAGGAGGGTTGGTATATGTGGCTCTGTGGCCCGGGAGGGTTGGTATGTGTGGCTCTCAGGAGGGTTGGCGGTGTGGCTCTGTGGCCGGAGGGTTGGTATGTGGCTCTGGGCCCAGGCCGGAGGTTGGTATGTGTGCGTGGCCAGGGAGGGTTGGTATGTGCTCTGTGGCCAGGGTTGGTGGCATGTGTGGCTCTGTGTATGTGTGTAGGAGGGTTGGTATGTGGCTCTGTGGCCCAGGGTTGCTCTGTGAGGTTGCATGGCTCTGTGGCCAGGAGGGTTGTGCGGTGGCTATGTGCCAGGAGGGTTGGTATGTGTGGCTCTGTGGCCGGGAGGTTGGTATGTGGCTCTGTGTGCCTCAGCTCTGTGGCCCAGGGGGGTTGGTATGTGTGGCTCTGTGGCTGGGAGGGTTGGTGTGGTGGCTCCCAGGGAGGGTTGGTATGTGTGGCTGTGGCCCGGGGTTGGTATGCGTGGCTCTGTGGCCCAGGGAGGGTTGGTATGCAGTGGCCTGTGGCCCAGGAGGGGTTGGTGCCTGTGGCCTGGCTCTGGGCCCGGGAGGGTTGGTGTGTGGCTCTGTGGCCCTGGAGGTTGGTATGTGTATCTCTGTGGCCAGGGAGGTTGGTATGCGTGGCTCTGTGGCCCAGGAAGGTTGTGCATGGCTCTGTGGCCCAGGGGGTTGGTATGCGTGGCTCTGTGGCAGGCCTCTGGGCAGGAGGGTTGGTGCGTGGCTCTGTGGCCCGGAGGGTTGGTATGCGTGGCTCTGTGGCCCGGGAGGGTTGGTATGGTGTGGCTCTGTGGCCCAGGAGGGTTGGTATGCGTGGCTCTGTGGCCCAGGAGGGTTGGTATGTGTGGCTCTGTGGCCCGGGAGGTTGGTATGCGTGGCTCTGTGGCCTATGTGGGCTCTGTGGCCAGGAAGTGGCCTGTGGAGGGGTTGGTGTGGTTCTGTGGCCCAGGGTTGGCTCTGGGCCAGGAGGGTTGGTATGTGTGGCTCTGTGGCCCGGGAGGGTTGGTATGTGTGGCTCTGTGGGGAGGGTGTGTGTGTGGCTCTGTGGCCCTGGAGGTTGGTATGTGTATCTCTGTGTGCCAGGAGGTTGGTATGCGTGGCTCTGTGGCCAGGAAGGTTGGTATGCATGGCTCTGTGGCCGTGGCAGGAGGTTGGTATGCGTGGCTCTGTGGCCCAGGAGGGTTGGCATGCGTGGCTCTGTGGCCCGGGAGGTTGGTATGTGGCTCTGTGGCCGGGAGGTTGGCATGTGGCTCTGTGGCCCAGGGAGGGTTGGTATGTGTGGCTCTGTGGCCCGGAGGGAGGGTTGGTATGCGTGGCTCTGTGGCCCGGGAGGGTTGGTAGTGTGTCTGTGGCCCGGGGTTGGTATGTGTGTGGCTCTGTGGCCCGGGAGGGTTGGTATGTGTGGCTCTGTGGCCCGGGAGGGTTGGTATGTGTGGCTCTGTGGCCCTCTGTGGCCCGGAGGGTTGGTAGTGTGGCTCTGTGGCCCGGGAGGGTTGGTATGTGTGGCTCTGTGGCCCGGGAGGTTGGTATGAGGCTAGGGGAGTGTGGCTCTGTGGCCCGGAGGTTGGTATGTGTGGCTCTGTGGCCCATGTGAGGGTTGGTATGGTGGCTCTGTGGCCCGGGAGGTTGGCATGTGTGTGATCCTGGTGACCTATAGATGGTAACAGAACATCATATTAATTACGCCGAAATAAATTCACATTACATTACTTATGTTAAATTATATACCACAGTAATACACGTCTCAGTTTCTATCATCTGTTGTTTATAAATTTTCACAATGTGGACAGATACTTTTTTTAGATACTATAGTGTACTGTGTGTATGTGTATGTATGTATGTATGTATGTATGTATGTATGTATGTATGTATGTATGTATGTA